ATCTATAGTCAGTATCTCATAAATGCGTTCTCATCTACCTGTGAATTAAGATGATTTAACAAACCCAGTTGAATCCAAATGAATTAGTTCTAAAAATTTATTAAATCTATTTTAGATATCAACTCATTTTTCCAAACCTAAAATATATGACAATCCTGTCAAATTTATACTTTTATATTATATGTGCTCACATCTACGTGAGTTAACGAACTTCAGTTGAATCCAAATGAATTAATTTTAAAAATTTATTAAACATATTTTATATATTAATCCATTTTTTCAAATTAAAAATGTATGACATCTCCCCTCAAATTTCAGTTTTAAATTTTTTATATTATATCATATTTACATATTTTTTTACAACCTATAATGTATAACAATTTCCCGTTAAATTACAATTATTTTTAAAAAGAACATAAAAAATAAATAAAATTTCTAGATAAAACTATTGTATATTATTTTCTATATTTATTTAATGAATGAAATTTATTTTAGATGAATTTATTTTCTAATTTGTATTTAAAAATATAACTTAATTGTCATTTAAAATAGTACATTCAATTCTTTAACTTCAATTATATGGTATGTCATAGATACATTTATTCTACCCGTGAATTTATTTCATGTACTCAGTTGGTTAATATTAATATAATTACAATATATAATCATTTATCAAATTTGAATTTCTCATTTATAAAAATAATTTTAAATTATTCTCGTTTATAAAAATGAACGTGTGTGTCTATTTATAAAAATATATGAAACTTATACTCTTTTATAAATATAATTGTATCAATACTTGAATTTTTCCGGTTTATAAAAATATTTATAATTTATTCATTTTTATAAAAATTATTATAATTTATTTTTAGTTTGTAAAATTAATTATATTAATATGTAGACTTTTTCTCGTTTATAAGTGTCTTTAACCCGTGTGACAATTTATAAAAACATTTTAACTTATTCATGTTAAAAACAATTACATCAATATTTGAATTTTGTTCGTTTATAAAAATATTTGTAAGTTATTTAAGTTTATAAAAATAATTGTAAAAATAAATATTTACCATATCATCTTAAATTTATTTATTCAACAGTGATAAATATGTGTCTCTTAGTTAATTACATTTATAAATAAATATCGTGTATTAGTGATATATATTAAATTTATTATCTTAATGTCTAACTAATTAAAATGAATTTATTATTGTCAATCAAAAATTATAATATTAAATAATAATATAATATTATTATTATATACGGGAAAAAGAATAAATTAAATCTAAGAATATCGGAAAATTTATTATAATATTAAATAATAATTTAACATTTATTATTACAATGAATCATATATAACATTTCAAAATTATGTATTTATTTCTTATGTTTTATTATATTCGATTTGTAATAAATATTTTTCAGTTTATTGCGAATTTTCAATAATTAAATATTAATGATATTATATAAAATTAATTTCATGAAATAAATTTATTTAATAAAGTGTTATATAAATATTTAATACATTATATTATACCATTAATTTATATAAAATGATATTAACTTATTCCTGTTTATAAAATTATTGTAACTTTTTTCCGGTTTATAAGCATGTTGAATTCGTGTGTCCATTATTAAAATATATGTAATTTACTATTATTGATATAAATAATTTTATAAATAGTTTAATTTATTACATTTATAAAATTATTTGTAATTTATTCACCTTTATAAAATTAATTATAAATTATTTAATTTATTAAAATGATTGTATCAATAATTTTTTATTTTATCATAAATTTTTATGATTATCATTTATCATTAAATTTTCATGATTACCATTTAATATTTTTTTATCATGATTGCAATTATAAAGTTAATTTGAAAAGATTATGATATATTATAGTTATTTCATAAACTTAAAAAAATTATCAAATCTCAATTGATTTTGTTTTGTTTTATTAACCTTTTTATAGAAATTGAAATAATTTATTTTAGGTCAAATAAGGATCTAAATAATTACAAAATAATATTTATTCTTACATTTATAGAATGATAAATTAAATATTTAAGATAAACATTAGAGTTCTTATTTACTTTATCTTTTATATATTTATAATATACTTTTTTTGTTAATTTTATTAACAATATATTTATAGTTAACAATACATCCTTTAAACTACGTTATTTTTTTCAAGAATATAAATGTAACCTTTCAAAAAATATACACAAATATATTTAGAAGTCGGTAGAAAATTTTATTGGTTAAATTATAATTCCATTCAAAATTTATTGATCATAAATTTTTGAAATCAAATCATGCATAAAAATAAAATGTATTAATGTGACCATTCAAAATATTTTTTATATATAATAAAAATAAATAATATTAATACCTCCATTCAAAAGATATATTTGTAAAGTTTTGATTTAATTTTTTTCATATCTTTATATATTCTAATGTATATAATATTCCTATAATATGAAACAGTATCAAACCTATAATATTAAAAGAGAATTCAAATTTATTCAAATTTTATTGATCATAATATTTTATGGAATCAAATCATATATAAAAATTAAATATATTTATGTCACCATTCAAAATAATTTCCATATAAGTATAATAAAAATAAATGATAATAATGTCTCCATTCAAAAGATATATTGGTAAAGTATCGAATTAAATGGTACTCCAATATTTGATTAAAAAATTGTAATATTTGTTTTTAATATTGTATAAAAAAATATTAATTAGTCGTACTTTAAAAAAATAAATCGTAAATATTTTATTAAAAATTGTAATATTTGTTTCTAAAATTATAGCAATTAAAAATAAAAAAATATCAATAGAAAATAAAAAATTTATTCAAATTTCACGACAAATGAGAATTATAATTTCGATTCAAAATAAATTGGAATTTTGAAGGCACATCAACACCAACTTGTAGGTTATTATCTTCTCTTTAGGAGAAGAGAAATTCTATTTAAAAAAGATTGTAAATATGTTAATTGAACGAAACTTAGAGTAGTGTGTTTGCTAGAGGCAATGCTACATTCAAAAGAACTTAGAATTTGGTGTAAAATAAATTCCATTAAAACATAGGCCAACATAATTTGCAGTAGAAAAATATATTATGCCAAAACCAATGTTGATATGACATACAAAATATGAAAGTAATAATAATATACATATATTAATGAAGGCATATCAACGTTGGTTTTATCATCTTATACATCTTAGATAATTATTGTCTTGCTTATGGTTCTTCTGAAATTGGTAGTGAACTTCAGCAACACCCGCTACTCTTGAACCCTTAAAAACATATAACTTTAGAACTTCTGGTGAATAAGAGTCTCATCCCTTTGACTATCCTCATGTTCATCAAAATCTCGTTCCTCTTCCAAAAACAGTTCCTCCAAACATTGCAATGAGACATTTGCATTTGCTATCAGAAAATATAATTAGTATATAATCAGTACCTGCCAATGAAAGCCATTGATATTCCTTGTGGAAGCATAAAATTCAATGGTTTCAATTTCCTAATCTTCAATAATAGTGGGTATTTTTAAATCATGCAATGAATAATATTCCATTTAATTATATTCCATTGATATTCCTTGTGTAATGATAAATAGTGGGTATTTTTAAATCATGCAATGAATAATATTCCATTTAATTATAATAGATCTAATTTGGTCATTCCAATTCCGTGAGTCAAACATTAGAATTCAAATTCTGTCAAAAAAAACATTGGAATTCAAATATAAATAAATTAACCGTGAATGAAACATTGGAATTGGAATTCAAATATAAATAAAATTCAAATATAAATAAAATAAATTAATAAATCAAATAAATAAAAAATAGTGTAAAATTATGATAGATTGACATGTCAGCAAAATTAAATGTTTGAGTCGTTGATGTCTTTCACAGCTTCAATCGGTCGCGCCATTGATGTTACTATTTAGACCTGTTACAAAATCTGTATTAATTGGAAAATAATACGTAACCTTTTGAAAATAATGGAGAATGAAGAAGATTGAGGAATGAAAGAGTAAGGGTTTAGAATGGCTATATATAGGGTTTAGAATGCATGGGAAGTTGTGATATCTTGGAATATCAAAATAATCCATTCTAATTCCAATAATATACATTTAATCTTGTAGTGTAATTAGTAGGTATTTTTAAATCATGCAATGAATAATATTCCATTTAATTATATTCCATTGATATTCCTTGTGTAATAACCGTGAGTCAAACATCAGAATTCAAATTCTGTCAAAAAAAAACATTGGAATTCAAATATAAATTAACCGTGAATGAAACATTGGAATTGGAATTCAAATATAAATAAAATTCAAATATAAATAAAATAAATTAATAAATCAAATAAATAAAAAATAGTGTAAAATTATGATAGATTGACATGTCAGCAAAATTAAATGCCAAATGAATATGGTAACAGCATAGTGTTGATTAATCTATTATACCCTTGGAATAAGAAAAGTTATAACATCTAATCAAAAAGTTATAACATCTAATCAAAAGGTTAGACTTGGAATTTTCAGATACTTTACTTTTAATAGATAGATAATAGATATGTTATGGTTTATTATGAAAATGATTTATAAATAACAATTTAATTTATAATTTATTTTATATTTAATCACATTAATATATAATGTTTGGATCCGCTCTTTATACTGTATTAATTATTAATAATTAATAATAAAAAAATTCTTTTAGGTTACTATCACCGGAAGTATGTCATGAAATTTGTCTGAATTTTGAAATCTAATTTCATTCCATTATTATGAAACAAACAACCAGACAAGAGTAAAAAGTGACTCGGTTATCCCAAAAAGTAATAAGAATAGAATTAAAATAATAATAACAAAATTTAAACACATAAATATGAATAATTTATTTATTTATAATTGGTCTCTAGTGACATACAGTATATTATATGAAACTAACAAAAAATAAAAGACGTGCCATATCAGCAATTTAACCATAGTGTGAGAGCTTTCAACCCCGGACATAAATTTTCCCAGTAAGGGTTATCCTTCTGGATATTATAATCACCCAGAGTACGACCATCCTCCAATCCCTTCCCATGGAAAACTAGCCTCTGTTTGGCGGCGGGAAATCCCTCTTTATCCTCTATTTTCGCCTTCACATTCTCAATTCTATCACAACTTTTTACCTCCAAAAATATGCTGCTCTTGTTAGTATAGTTGTTCACGACAATTTGCATACCATCTTCAAATGATCTCAAAACCAGATGGAGAGTGGATTTCTTATGGATGTAATAATCAGCTAGAGTCCTACCATCTTCAACCTCTTTCCCTGCAAACATAAGCCTTTGTTGATAGCTTGGAATACCCTCCTTATCCTGAATCTTAGCCTTCACATTATCAATTCTATCTAAATTCTCAACCTCCAAAGTGATGGTTTTTCTTAAAGTCTTGACAAAGATCTGCATTCCATATATCAATGGGAGTAGAAGCTGTAGATTCGAATCCTTTTTGATGTCGTAATCAGCAAGGGTGCGCCTATCTTCCAATTCTCTTCCAGCAAAGACAAGCCTTTGTTGATGGCGTGGAATACCCTCCTTATCCTGAATCTGAGCTTTCACATTATCAATTCTATCTGAACTCTCAACTTCTAAAGCGATGGTTTTTCTTAAATTCTTGAAAAATATTTGTATTACATCTCGGAGTACAAGGTATAGAATGGATTCCTTTTTGATGTAGTAATCAGCAAGGCTACTTCTATCTTCCAATTTTTTTCCACCAAACATGATAAACTTTTGCTGATAGGGTGGAATCCCTTCTTTATCTTGGATCTTAGCTTTCACGTTGTCTATGGTATCACAACTCTCCACCTCAAGGCTGAAAGTTTTTCCAGTCAATGATTCTTTCACAAAGATTTGCATCTGTAAACAACAAAGCAAATATCATAAACAACACTTCAAATCACAACACAAACCCTAACCAACCAATTATTACAGCAGAATATTGAATAAGCAAAAGAATATATCAAATATCAAAAACCTAATAAGCAAAAGAACAATCTGAATTGAAGAATAAAAGATAGAAAAGGGTGACTTACCTTGAGTCGTTGATTTTTGGAACAAGAAAAAAAACCGCTAAGAGTTTTGAGTACGAAAAAAGAATGAAAGATACGATAGTTATATATAGGTTGCGCCGACTCAATAACAAAATCAAATATTTGTTATATGTATTATATTAGAAATTTAATATTTTATATTCAAAATCAAATATTTTGTTTCTAAAACAAATCTTTTACACAAATCAATTATTCCTTATCACTATATTTATATATGCATATCAAATATTTAAAAATCCATATCAAATATTTGTAAAATAAAAGAATATAATCTTAGTAAAATAATGTGTAAAAAATAATACAAAACCAAAGAATAATAGATTAGAAAAATTAATATTATTTAATATTTATTTAAAAGACAACATATTATGTGTTCTTTTGTTTTATAAATTAAATAGAGTAGTAAAAGATTTGAAAACAAGACCACTAGTAATTTTGTTTTGTTTTGAATGTGCATATATAAATAGACTGTTAAGAAATAATTGACTTATATAAGATTTGTTTTAAGTATAAAAGATTTGCTTTTGGGTTAAAAATATTTAACTTCTAGTCTACTACTTAAATCAATCTAATGGATGATAATAACGAGACTTATGCAATTATCTAAAAAATTATTTTCTGTCTTTGATTTATATAAGATTTGTTTTAAGTATAAAAGATTTGCTTTTGGGTATAAAAATATTTAACTTCTAGTCTACTACTTAAAATCAATCTAATGGATATTATCTAAAAAAAAAAATCTGTTTCTCTATTAAAACAAGTATTTTTATAGCGTAAAAAATTTATCTTAAAATAAGTGTTGTTTTACCTGTATTGAAATAGAAATCGAATTCGATATATTTCGAATATCATCTTTTATAAGGAATTCTTTTATTACTAGAGCTCAAATATTTAGTTATCTCTAATTAATATTGTCCGCACTACTCAAATTTTTTTTAGAATAATCAGGTACTAAAAAAAATCGTAAATAATCATGTTTCGGAGAAAATTACGCAAATAACCATGTTTCAGAAAACCCAACAAGGGAGGAGTTAACCCAATTGGCGCATCCACTCCCCATTTTGCCCTAGGCGCCATCCCACTTGGCGCCTCCTCTCTCTTTTAGCCAAGTGAGATGGCGCATGCACTTTAAAAGTGAGAGGATGCGCCACCTCACTTGGCTCCTAGGGCAAAATGCTATTTTTATAAATAATTCGTCTGTTTCTCCGTCATTCCTCACACTTTCTCGCACTGTTCTCTTATTTTTTACTCTGTTATTTGCGTCATGACATCGCCCATGATTTTTACCAGAGATGGTTACGTTATTTTCTCCGCCACAAAACCTCCGATGAAAATGAAATTCTGGCACATTCACTCCATAGAGCGTCTAAAGAGGGAGTTGATGCGATGGCTAGAGAGAGACATCGAGGAGGGAGAACAAATTAGAAGGATCCAACGAAGACGAACAACAACCTCACTTGCGACAGGAAGACCTAATTTTTGGTTGGAGGAAGTCAAAACTGACAGCGACGTAATATTGATGATACATGGGTCAGATGAAATTGTTTTAACGGTTGTAATTTCGTAGACGATTTATCGTGTTTTATTTCTTGTTCGCGCAATGTTTATTGTAACAAACATTGTTAACGAAAAACTCTAATGTTTACAACTTAATAAAGGAAAGATTTTTTGTAATACAATTTTTATGTGGTTGAGCCAGTAGCCTGATTCAGACAATTTTTGCGATTGTGTCCAACCTGACGAAATAAATCACACTTTCTTTCCAACTTGTCAAGGGAGTCCATTTTGGTTGTGATGCGCTTACTTTTGGGACGATCCTTTTTATTCCTTCGCATTTGGTCGTTGTGTCATACTATTTCGCCGTCGTATGCAGGACAATAATATGGTTTTGCTACCAAAGGGAAGTTGTTGTTGTATACATTAAGCAAGGTTTCAGATTTGTAAATGGGAGACAAAAGTTGTAGCGCGTCTTGATGAGTATAGGCACACGCGGCAATGACATGAGAGCAAGGCATACGAAAGGCTTGAAACTTGCCACAATTGCACCAACGAGAAGGTAGTATAACCCTATACTCTTGTCTTGGCAGGCCCTCGTTGTGGTCGATTATCTCTTTGACAATGAAGTTGTGGTTGTGTCGGTAAAACCATATAACCAGATGGGTGTTGGCTTTGGCACTTTCTGCTTTAATGTACTTCATGCAGCTTTCACTCCATAGTTGTCCAGATTGCAACACAGCATTCCACATTTCACCTCTTTTGGAAAACAACGAAGCCATCCTAAAGTATGTTGATTTAACCAAAGCAGTGACTGGAAGGTTTCATATGCCTTTGAATACCACATTCATCGATTCAATTAAATTTGTTGTCATGTGGCCCCATCTTTGTCCATTGTCGTATGACCTAGTCCATTTTTCTACCGGAATATTATCGATCCACCTACCAGCTTCCGGATTTGACAAACGGATCTCGTTGCGATAATATTTGAACGTAGGTTGTGTCAATGCATATCCCACATTCATAACCGCTTTCCTAAGAGCTTTGTCTTTGATCTCCCTCGTGAAATTTTGGACGATATGTCTAATGCAATAGACATGCGTAGAAGGAGGGTCATGTCAACCGTTTGCAGGATTGTTGTATGCACTTTCAATGGATGCATGTCTATCAGAGATCAAACAGAGATCTGGTTGAGGAGCCACGTGTGTTCGGAGATTCTTGAGAAAAAAGCTCCAAGCACCACCAGTCTCCCCCTCGACTAGGGCAAAGGCAATTGGGAAAATGTTGTTGTTGCCATCTTGTGCAACTGCCATCAATAGCGTGCCTTTGTATTTCCCATACAACCAAGTCACATCAATTTGTATAATTAGTTTGCATGACGTAAACCCTGTGATGCAAGGTTGAAAAGCCCAAAACACTCGACTGAATATTCCATTTTCATTGAGTTGACTACCATCCGGGGCGTATGCTGGCACTGTTTCCAGAATGTAAACAGTACCCAGAGATTAAGTCTGGAGTGCATTCAGGTAGCGAGGAAGTTCTTGGTATGACTCCTCCCAGTTTCCATATACCTTTTCAATCGCCTTGGTCTTTTCTAACCACGCCTTTCAGTAAGACGGAGTATAGTTAAATACCGTAGTGATGTGGGAGATTATGGTTTTCACCTTCAATGATGGATCGTTGCTGACGAGTGGTAGGATTTCTTGACAAATGAGATCATAATTTAGTTTCCGATGATCCTGTGATTGACTAGAATTGACACACGTGTGAGTTGGCATATAACCTATGACCCAACAATCACCTCTTAATCTGTATGATGCAATGAGCTTGAACATACAATCTGGGTGGACACACTTAATCTTGTACCTTTCTGGATTTACACGGTCCACCTTAAAATCGACCGAGTTGAGCATGTGAAATTTTTTGATGGCTCTGATACATTCTTCTCTATTACGAAATTTGTCTTTCTCTTTTAAGTTTTCATTCGACTGCATATACGGATTGAAAAATAAATCAGAAGACGGTTTATCTTCGCCCATGTTGATGTTTTTCATGTGCGGAGGTGGTGTACAAATCTCGTTTAAAGGAATACCAGGTATCCAATCGTCTTCAGAATCATCGTTGACCATGTCGTCAAACTCCAACTCGTCATCTTCTTTTTCTTCATCAACGACATCTACTTCTGCTTGTTCGGTCTCCATAGGATCAACCACTTGTGAGAGCTAAGGCTCTCACAGCATAATGTACAACTCAATAGAGTCGTACCCAGAATACTCATGACTGGAAAACATATTCTGAAGGTCCTCGTCATCTTGAACCTCAACCTTATAAAATATTATTTGGTTGTTACCAAAATGAACCGGATTCTGATAAAATATTTGTGTAACGGGACCTCGTCCAAGTTTGGCCTCCAATCGTTTTTTGAAGTACAAGAAATTGGCTTTCTTGTTTAAACAAAATCGGATGTTCTCAGTGTCTCTAAACAAAAACCCAGAGGTGGGACAAATGTATGTCTCATCGTTGAAACGTGCACTGATCACATATTAGGGTGCAGAGGCCATTGTGTATGACTGTTTGAAGGTTTGAAGGTTTGAAGTTTATGAGTTAATTGTTGGAATTTTTTAATGTTCTAGTGTTTGAGAGATTAAGTGTATGAGTGTTTTGATAAATGTAAGATTAAATAGGTTGTACTGAATTTGAATAAACCAACAATAAGCACTCTCTAAGGTTGTCGCCTAGCCTGCACCTACACTGCAACCTCTAAGGCGCGTCCCATCACGTCCAATTGTGTTACATGCATGCAGAGATGCCTTCTCCAAGGCTGTCACCTAGCCTGCGCCTACACTTCAACCCATTCCACCTCTTATTTGCCAACAGGGATGGCGACACTTTTCATTTTTGTACTCTTTCACCAAGTCCAATGGCGCCTCTCTTCACGTCCAATCGTGTTACATGCATGCAGAGATGCCTTCCCCAACACTGCCACGTAGCCTGCACCTACACTGCAAAAGTGACACTTATCATGCATGTATGCACCCACCTACCACCTCACTTACTCTATGATAAAATTTTGCCTATAAATACAGAACCTCACATACTTCTATCGCATCCACAATCGTCTCACTCTTTGCTAGAAACTCTTTCATAATCTCTTACAATTTCAAACTCTTTCATAATATCATACATTTTCAACAATGGCTCTTCTTACAATGGCCGATTCTCAGAGGCACAAGGGACAACATTGCAGCGTTTGTAAGTTTCTTTTATACTTATACATTTTTCATACTTCTAGTAATGCTTTATTCATCTTAC